TTTTCCCTTTCCAAAAGTGTGAGAAAAATAGTTTATAAATTGAGAATCCTGTTATAACAAAGAAAAGCTAAAATTGTTATTCTCAGCCTTCTTTTATTGTAATATTAATATATAAAAATACATAAATAATCGAAAAAGTTTAAAAGAGTTTAGGGGGAAATTTTCCTCCTAACCAAACACCCTCTGGAATTTACCATCAAGAGTCAGAACCTTAATTTCGGGTTAACAAAATGCATTGAAAATCTCAGATGTTACACAAGATTTCCATAAATCCTTGTAATAGAGTTAAATCAGCCAAATATTATACGGGGACTGTGGATCTTGCTTCCCTTTCCATTCAGCTTTGTCTTGTGCTTCATGTCTCATGATATCACAAATTCTGCAATGGTAAGATTTGGATTCATCACCTGAAAATGGAATTACTCTAGGGCGGCTCTGTTTGATATGATAACAAGACAACTCTCGCATAAACATAGAATACAATTAATACATCAAATGACTGAAAAAGCATCAATGCATACAATGCCACTGATGCTTTCAAAAACGCAGAAGAAAAGGGATAGGAAAGAATGATTTATGAACAGTTTCAAGTATCTAAAACCTATGAGTAAAAGAATAGGAAAGAAGAGTTAGCATTCAAATTCAGTGTCAACAACCTAATCGAGCCAACGTGTGACTCCGTCATCTTCCCCTACAGCTGCCAGAACCTCAATGCGTACATCTAAAACAGCCTGCAATTTCCAGCAATTTGAGGGATTCAAAAGAGTAGATTATTATAGATAAAAATGAATGAACAGTTAAAGAGTAGTCAATGTTTTTATGCATATAGAAAAATATCTCCATTGGTCACAGATTCCATGATGCTTTTATACATAAATTAACGAAATATATTTGCATAGAGGCTAAAAACAATATATTGATTAGTTGAACACAACACCTAATTGCAACTTGCAAGCAATAAAATAATCACACACCATATGGTAGACATATGAACACTAGCAGGTCTTCAGAATCCTTAATTAAAGTTCAGAAGGATACAAAATTTGATGTCATGAAGAGTTCATTATTGCAATCTAAAACTATTTTTATTTTTATTTTTTGGCCATCAATCCAATAGCAGTTGACAGTGAAATCTATAGGGATAAAAAGACTTACCGAAGGATTCCTACAGTTTACCAGCCTACATTCCTGCAAGGAACCTTCCAACATCCAACTCTCCCAAACATCAAAGCTGTGACTAGCAAATACAAATTCCATTCTTCGGTTAATCTGCCACAAATTCAAGGTGGACACTGTCATTATTCCCCTTAAACTATTCAGATTTACTTTACCACCAAAAGTGATCAATAACTTGCTACAAAACTCATTCCAAATATGACAAACAAAATTGGAAAATAAAAGTATATGCATGTGTGTGTAAGAGAGAAAGAAAGAATAATCTGCACATAAAGATTCTTTTCCAAACAACCAACCAACCAACAGCAATGCCACTTCAACTAGCAATTACTAATGCATACAAGATATATCGGTAGGGTGATGCATGGAAAACACTCCCAACTGATTATCAGAAAATGTAGCATTACCTGCAATAGCTTCCCACCAGCAGCAAAAGAACGCAAACCAATTGTATCCTGAACAAATGCATCCATTAACGCACAGAAATTAGTTAACGAATTCCAACCATGCCTGTCGCATAATATTCAAGCAGAGGCACAGAAACTGGGGCCAAACAAACCTTGCTTCTATAATCAACAAGGAACTGGGCTGCAGGATCTCGTTTAGTTACATTTGACATGGCCTCCAGGAACCAACCACCACCTTTAGCTCTTTGTCTGGAAACATGGAGTGCAGGGTGATCTCTTGCATGCAAAGCAATAACAGACCCTTCTCTCAGCAGATCACCAGACTTCTCACTGAGCTCCTGGCTAGTTACAAGAAGCTGGTCAGAAGTTGATTCTTGCAGTATCTCTTTTGGTGTTTTCCTATACCTCCAGTCTTCAGGGGACTGAGATCCAGAACTTAATGCTTGATCTGTGCCACTCATTGCCGTATCATCTTCTCTATGTGAAGTACCTTCTTTCTCTAATGCCAAGGGCTCATCTGCTTTTTGCATTGATTTTTGATGGGCATGCCTCTTTTTGGCCTTTTTACCTGATCTGCTGCGTCTTCCTTGAGATTTGGTGGCAGTACTATGAGATAAACCTGAACCCTGATTTTGGCTTGGAGATTCTTCAAACTGAGTGGAACCCTTATTCTGGGACACTTCTGGACTTAGTTGAATATCATCGGTCAATTGCTCACCTCTGGATCCTTTAAGAGCAAGTTCTTTGTCTTGACTAGCAGCCTTTTCTTTCTCATCAACTACTTCACTCTCCTCTTCATCCTCATCTGAAATGGCATCTTTAGGAATAACCCCTTCAAACAAGAATGTTTGCAACATAGAGATGGCTTTCTCCCTAAGCTCCATCCACGCTTCTTCACTATAATCTGCACTTCGTGGAAGTATCAATACATTGGGCATCTCCTTCACCTGCAGTAAAGATGTTATGAAAATTTGATTAGCAACATCCTTGTATTCTTAGCTTCCCAGCTACATAAAATGTCAGCATTCATCTGCCTAGCAACTTTACGGTTTTCTTCAAATCCTAATCTCCTACTTTTTCCATCAAACTAAAAAATGAAAAAAAGATCCTTATCTTAAATGAAAAGGAGAAAATCAAATCCACTGGATTTAAAAATAGGAACTGAGCCATGCTCTATTCTCTCCTTACATTCTATATATGCCTAACCTTCCAACTGTCATAACTCATAAGCCTATAATAATACATGACCGCAATATGTAGGTGCTTGCATAAATTTCTGCTAAAATGAAATGTAAATTCAAAATCATTATAATCTGGTCTGCCAAAAAGAATTGGAGATCAGGTCTCCAATATAGGAAGAGCAGAATGTCTATGCTGGAAAACTTAAAACAAAACTTGCCCATCCTAACAATTCGATGTCAATACAATGTACTCTTAATTGGCATAAGTTCCGTTTAACCTGAACAGTGAGACCCCAGCATGCACAAACCAGGATATAAAATAAAACACAAGTACATATGATATCAAAAAATTTTGCTACCTTACTTAGAGAACAGCTAATCATTGTTTAAACTCATCAAATCTTAATAATATTTTATCATACCCAAGCTTCCATCCACTGTGGCCCTTCAGCTCCATCAAGAGCACAACCAGCTAAAGCGCCATCAATCAGAAGCTGCTTCACAGCACAATCATCTAACAGCTGGCTGCTACCCGTGTTAACAAGAAACGCCCCTGTATGTAAATACAAATAATAACATTTCCATAACAAAACAAATTGCAGGAATCACAGAAAAATTCAAAGGAAAATCTAAAATGTGAAAATACCAGGTTTTATTTGCTGCAAACATTCTGCATTGATAATCTGGCAAGTTTCATTTGTCAGGGCACAATGTAATGATATAAGGTCACTTGCAGCTAGAAGATCATTAAGAGTATCCATTCGTCGGGCACCTGGTGGGAAGGTTATGGAAGACCTGCTAACTTTTCCATTCTCCTGCGTAAAACACATTGCTATGTGAGGACCCCCATCAAAGAGACCTATGAACTTGGAAGCCACTAAAACTACAAATTCCAAACAAAGTAATGATATTTCTACTAAATTGAACTCGACATTATGGAAATTCTACCTGTTGAACATCAAAGTAGAGGACGTTCATCTTGAATGACAAGCTCCTGGTAGCCAGAGACCGAGCAGAAGCAGATCTACCTATGATCCCCAACACCAACCCCCGACACCGCCGCATCCCTCTACACAATGGCTGCAGGGACCCGAGCCAGCCAGAAGCCGACAGCTCGTGGCGGGAGAGCAAATGCGTGCGCCGAAGCAAGCCGAGGAAGAGCGCCATGACTGTATCCGCGATCTCCTCGGCTCGCGAGACATCAACGTGTATAAGCTGCAGCCCTAGGTCGGCTGCCAAGGTGGAATCAACAGCCCGGTCGGACGAACCGAGACATAGGATGAGCTGGTTAGGACGGAGCCGGCGCTGGGCCGCCCGAGGAAGGTAAGCGAGAGAGTGGAGGAGAACGGCTGCAGCCGCCTCGATCTTCCCGTCGGATAAGCGGCTGAGCGGCACGTGCTCGACGATTGCGACGCCGGCCAGTGAATCTCGCTCGAGGACGCAGTCTTCGACGCAGTTGAGCGTGACGACTAAAGGAAGAGGCGTAGGTTTGCTACGGCGAGACATTGCGGCGGAAGATCTGATGCTGGTAGTGGCGCTCATCATCGGAGTGGGAGTGAGTGTTAGTGACAATGGCACGGTGGTTAGTGGTGGTGAGGGTTTACGGATGTAAATTTGGGCATTTTGAGGGTCGAGTATAGATTAGGCCCTCTTCTATTCGATGGCTTCGATTCTGATGCGGTGATTCGTCGTCTTTCTCTGTTGTTGAAGGTACAGGTACGGTATAAAATTTGTCCGTTGCCTTAACATCCAATGTTGTCCTCCTCCTCCTCCCTTGCTTCCTTCTGTTTATTTTTGAAACCTCTTATTATTTTATGATCTCCATTAATCCAGAATATCAAATCCCTTTCACTTGGACCAACCAATTGTTGGTTGTCCTCCATTGCTTTTCATAATCAAAACTCCAATTCACAAATGCCACACTTGGTTTAGCTTGATGATTCATGCCTCTTTCATTAAAGAAAAGAATAAAATGTTAATTTTATCTCTTAACTTTTAGATTTATATTAAAATTATTTTTCAATTTTGAAAATATCAAAATTATCCTTAAATATTAATTTTTAACACTAAAAAAGTTAAATATCAATTTTGGTCCCTCAAATTTAAGGTTTACACAATTTTCATCCCTCATCTTTTGTATGTATTTTTTTATCACTTGACTATGAAAAATACATTTTTTTAGTCATTTCATTAATTAATCTGTTAAGTTTATCTAAATATACATATTTTTAGTCTCATAATTTTAAGTTGAGGGATGAAAATTATGCATATATTAAAAGTTAATGGATTAAAAATGTGTAAATTCAAATAGATTTAACAGATTAACTAACGGAATGACTAAAAAAATATATTTTTCATAATTAAATGATAAACAAATTGTATAAAAAAAGTTAAGAGATGAAAATTGTACAAAACCTTAAAGTTGATGATCAAAATTGGTATTTAACCTACTAAAAACTCCTTCCATTAACAAAAATATCATATAATTCATTATTTTACCACAAAATTAATTCTTTTCTAAAATACTAATGACGTGTAAAATTAAACAATTAGATTTTTCTATTGTGATATATTTCTATCTACATATTAGATTGATATCTAATCAAAGTTGAAAAACCAAATTGGAATTTGTAATCAAAGTTCAAGGACTAAATTAGTACTTGTTTAAAGTTTAAGGACTAAATTAATATTATTTTTAAAGTTTAAGAACTATTTGATATTAAAAATTAAAATTTAGGGACATTTTTTATACTTTTTGAACTTAAAGGATAATTTTAGTACAAATCTAAAAGTTAAGAGATCAAATTAATATTTTAACAAATAATAATAACAATAATAATAATAATAATAATAAAAAGACCCATGCCTATTCCATTTTAATACTCAAGATCTTAATTCGAGATTCATTTGAATGGAGTAATGGTTAAGAAAATAACAGTTGTTGATTCTTATTATGAATTTAAAAATTAAGACATTTTAAAATTTAAACATATCCTTACAAGTTTTGTTTGATTTAGCAATTTTATAATGTTATTTATAATTCAAATATTCTTTTTTTTTTTATATCAAATTCTCAGTATTCAAAAGTTATATTAAATTCAACTAATTTAGAGTCACATTATATTAAATTTCATAAAAAAAAAATATTTGCAGTACTTATTTTTTCATTTATAAGATTTAAATCAAAATCGATTTCCTTTCATCTGACTGACTGGTTGTTGGTTCCAAATATTCTTATTACCAACATCTAATGACTTCTCTAAACAGCTAAACCAAATTGCTGAACTACAACTTTTTATAGTGTTTCCAAGTGATAATACGAGTAACACATGATTAAGTTCCCTTCTTGTATCTCCTAAAGGAAAAACCATTAACACTTGAAATTGAAGATGCATAAAAATTTAAAACCTTCTCCAAGTTTTGCCTATCTTGGACCATGATTAATAAGTTCAGGAGGTGTTTGCTGAAAATCAAAATAGATGACATACAGATTGCATAGAAAATTTGGATTGTGTTCAACAAAACAAGCAATTTTATTAGTTTCAAACAAGCAGAGAAGGCAGCTTTCAAGTTGCGGCTAAAGATGAATGGAAGAGTAACTGTTGGTTGCCGATATGTAAAAGATAAAAGAACTATACTTAGGTTTCCTAACAAAACCACCTGGATACTGCACGACCCAGAAATATCTAAAGCAAGACATGCTAAGTTACGTACATTCATATGGAAGAAAACTCACATCAAGGGGAACTTACGCCAACTGCTAGCAAGTCTCATATCTTCGAAAGGCAATTGCTGCTGGTACATTTCTGTCTTTGATGGCTGCACCAGTTCCACCTTCAACTTGGAAGTTAAAATAACATTCAGAGGAAAGAGATGCAAGACCTGCAGCAGTTCTAAGAGCTTTTCACATGAAAAAGAAAATGCTATACAACTTCCATGCAATCCACTCCCACCTAAAGCCGTGTTTTGGACATTTGAGATGTCATTCTCTGCTTCATATACTTTTTCACCTGCTATCCTAAAATCTTCCATACTACTATCAAAATCTCAAAAGACGTTCTTATTCAACCAGAGCAAACAAATACTCAAAACAAAAAGACAAAGATTCAGCTCAGAGAAACCTTCTCCGAAAATTCCTTGTAGTTGCTTGATATGAACGCATTAACAATCCAACTCCAATTCCAACCCCTAGGCACATCCCAAGGCCAATCCCTACGCCAACTCTAACACCCGCATTGAACCATGAAAGTTGGCCATCCTCACCGGCATACATTTCTTCAGAGTAGTAACCATGCCCAATCTTCCCATCTGACTCGTAATCATCAGCATCACCTTCTGTAGGCTGCACAAAACCATAAAATGGCCATATTTCAGTGAAATTAAGCCTAACCTTAACAAAACACAGAACTTCGAGCAAATTTCTAATTTTCATTATTAACGAGAAAGGATTGAAGTTTCACAGATATCCATGAAATTTTACTAGAACGCAGAGAAGAAACTTAACTATGCCTCCTTTTATTGTTAGTCTAAAGCTTGTAATGAAGTAGAAGTGGGAGCATGAAACTTGAATGAACAGAAAATACAGGATCAAGAGTACCAGAATAGATATTGTGATTTTATCATATTCTCAAAGTTTCAACAGCACAGGTTATGGTAGTTAAGCATTTCAAGCTTTCCAATGGTTTCACTTTTTAGGGGTAAAATAAATGAAAGGCATAATCATGTGCTTCCCTATCAGTTCAATAGAGCAATAAAAACCTTTTTTTCTCTTTTTTTGGTAAACAGTTGGTGTGAAAGCCTTTAATCACTGGAATGGTAGCCTAAAGAATCAGATTCAGAGAAGCTCCCTACATGGTAACTACAGATATACCTTGACATTAAAGTTAATGAACATGAAAAGTCATTCATCACCAACCTAATGCACACAGCCCATAAACTCTAAAATAAACAACATCCAATCATAGATCAGGCTTTCAGGGCACAGAGACATTTCCTATTCAAATGAATTGGATTATATATACACTTATCCAATGCCCACTCAACTGCATCCATAACCTTGAATCTAAGGTTCATATTCAATTGAACAGCAACATCAAAAGATGGTCATATTACCTGAAATTTACGGAGTCGAATCAAGCCGTTACTCCCACCACCAGCGTCCTTATTCTCCTTCCCAATTTCCTCATCCTCTGGTATTGAATCCAACATCCCACCATGCCTCGAACCAGCTTTCCTCCTCGGACTCACATGAATCGTCTTGGTCAATATCAAAGGCTCCCCTGCGCAACAACCGGCAATGTACACCTCAATCCCCGGAGCAGAGAACCCCATCTTCGGCTGAAAAAACGCCGACTTTCCCGATTCCATGGCTGCCGTCGCCATATAACAATCCATACTCCACTCTCCCTCCATCCTCTCCAACGACCCACATAGCAAAACTATCTTCTCATTCTCATAGACCTCGAACTCAACGCCCCCGGTGACCCGCACGCTATCAGTACTCAGGTACGTAACCTCAGAAGCTTCTTTATTGAGGCGATCACGGCGCAGCGTGAGTGACGCAGCCTCGGAGGCAGGAACCCGAGACCCATTAATTTCGAGGGAGACCCCGATCTCCCGATGTACGTGGGAGAGCGTTAGGTGATCCGGGACACTTCCGATGACGCACGGCGCGATGCGAACATAAAACAACCGGATTTCGAGCCACACCGACGAATTACTCATCATACTATACGAATTCAAGGTCTTCGGAATGGGAATTTGAGACGGATCTTGGTCTTGTGGATCCATGAGGATTGAAAAAAAAAAAAAAGGAATAAAAAAAGGGGAAAGCAAACAACTACTTCTCCTCGGAGAATTCGGGCATTACCATGGATTTTTGACTGAGGGAATTGCGTGGGATGGCAAATTTTTTTAGGGAGAAGGGAGAAAAACGGAATTTCGTTGAGGAAAATTAGGGTTCGAGGATTGGGGAAAGAAGTCAGTTTGGGGAAGAAAATGGGTTTTGGTTGCGGTGTTCCTGTTCAGGATGGGTTTGTATTTTCTTCGAAAATGACAGAGTCAAACTCAAAAAACGATAATTAGAGCAGAGTGGACAGCGAGGATGTGTGGGGTCCACAGTGGGTCCGCTTCACGGAAATTAAGAAAAAAAAAAAAAAAAAACAACGACTACTCCATCCACTATCTTTGTTCTTGGAAGGCTTTTGGGCCTACGGTTCCGCCCATATTATCAGAAACAAAATGAATTAGCCCATGAAAAATCCAATCTCATTGACAAATCGCTGCAACCCACATTCAATATTTTGGGCTTAAATTTGTGATGGTCTTGCCTTTTTGCTTAGGTTGAAAACATGGGTTCTTGAAGAACAAGTGTTACTTGTCAAACTAATGATTTAAGTAATTCAGTATTTTTTTTTTCTGCTGAAAGTAAAAGATTTTGAGTTTGAGTCACATGACATACGGGTGTAGTAAGATAAGGAATGAGAGATGATTGCTTCATATTGTACAACAAATCATATTGTACAACAAAAAAAAAAAGTGTCACTTGTCAATAAGGCTTAATTTAATAAATTATCTATTAATTATTGATTTTTTAAAATTTAGTCTAGACTCTAGGGTCTTTACATTTTTTAAAGTTGTCTATTAACTTTTAAAATTATATTAATTTTGTCTATCTATTACAATTCTGTTAGTTAGCTTGACAGGAAGTCATTGTCATTGTTCATGTGGCAACATGTAAGCTACCCAGTAAGCGTCACCTTGCCAAAAAAAGGAAGAGATATTTTTACTTGTTCAAGGACAAAAGTGTTTTTCAAAAGAAGAAGAATTTGACAGAAAAGTTCGGTGATTTTTCAGACATTATATATTGCAATGCTTACCCCTTTTCTCTCTGTCTCTTTTCTTCTTTTTAATTTTTTTTTCAGAAATTTCCCTCTTTTTGGCCATGTGGCACTTAACAACTTACATGGTGCCATAAAAGCAATGACCTTGGTTTCCAATCTAACTAATGGATTTGTAATAGGCAGATGAAATTGATGCAAATTTAAAAGTTAATAGATAATTTTGATAAAAAAAATAAAAAATTAACATTAAAATAAAAAATTCAATAATTAATAAATATTTCATTAAATTAAACCGTTGTCAATACCATAAAGTCATAAACCCCTGGTCCTTGTACACCTCCACGGCTCTACCCCTATTTTTGTGAAAACTAAAATATAAAAATAAAATAATTAAGGTTTTATAATTCATATTGTACTAAATTAAAAAAAAAAAAATAAATAATCGAACTTGCCTCAACCTTGAGGGCTCTCATTTAACGACTATATGTTGGAGATTTTAATTAAAAAAAAAAAATTGCATTTGTGCAGTTACAAACCCATGCTTTCTTGGATTTGTGCGTTTCTTTCTTAAAGAATAAAATTAAATTCAAATGTTGTAACCGGCTAGCAAATGGCTCACCAATTTCAAAATTTGTTTTATTCACCAACTTCAATTCTTTGTAACTGACATATGCCATTTTAAATTCCATTTTAAATTCCAACCGTTTCTTATTTTTTTTACTCCGGTTACATTGTAAAAGCCTATAAATAGGCAGCCTCCTTTTCTACCAAGAGGTTGGATACAATTTCATGATCTGCACTCTTATTTCACAAACATAATATACAAACTCTCTTTAGGCCAGGAAAAGGTGATGGGGTAGAGCTTTCTTTACAAGAGTGCAGTACTTGTAAAGATACAACAAGGAGGTTGGGCTGTTGTATCCTGGGGGCGGCGTGACCATAAAAATCTGCTGCACCAGTGGCACGAAACGTCCTAAAGAGAGTGATTGATCCACGCCTCAGCTCAAGCTCCTCATATTTTTGGTGACATCTTTCTACTTTTCATCTTCATCTTTAATTAATTATTTTTTACTATTCTTTTGTCTATTTTCTTTTCTATTTATTTTTTACGAGGAACAACAATTTTAGGACGTTTCGAAAGAAAAATTCTTTAAAAAAAAATGAGTTTACCTCGTGAAAAACCTGTTAAGCTCGCTAATGATCTTAACATGCCTTTTCGTTTTAACGGTGAGCATTTCAAAAGATGGAAAGGAAAAGTTTTATATTATCTTATTTTGTTAAATTTGGCATATGTCCTCAATGAGGAAAATCCTATTAATTTGTCAACCGAAGGTATGAGTTCTTAGATCCTAATATGATTATTAGCACATGCTTGAATGGTAGACTATTTATTTTAATGGCATGTGAATAAAAAAAAAAAAAATAGTGTTAACCCGATCACTTTCATATGTTGCTCTTGCAAATGAATATAGATATTTTTATCATGACATGTTGGAGCTTAATGATATTATTGGTTTATTTAATTTCCAACGGCTTGAAATATCATAAATGGAAATTGTTATGATTTTAATGCATGCAGATATGTGCTCCTTTTGCTGCTGTCGTACTCTTAATTTGTGAGATATTTTCAATAGTAAAAAAGAAAAAGAGAGTAAAAAATTACCTAACATGTGAAACTATTATGCCATGATGCAATCTTCAAGGAGTTGTATTTGCAACTAATAAATTTCAACATGAATGTGATTTAACTCCAACGGCTAGTAAAATATTAAGTGCATTGGTTATGCCATTATGTGTAAAATATTTTTTATAATCATATATTTTGTTAGTTGATTATTTTTGCTCTTTGACAAATCTTTAGTGAATGCTGTGTTGTCTTACTCATTTAGGAACCATGGAAAATGGTCTATGAAAATTTGACCAAGTGAAAAGACTAAAGAAGAGAGAGCTACCCCATTTCGTCCATGCAACAATTTTGGAAAAAAATGGACTTGATATTTGGGTTGATATACTCCGGAAACGTAAGTTAAACCTTTAAGCTTATGTGATCGAGGAGCCATTTTGTGGCGATAAAATGTGAGATGAGCTGATATGCTCTTATGAAAATTTTGTGAGAAAACGAGTTTTTTCATGAACTCAATTATTTGAGAAATGTGAAAAATCACATATTTGAGATGCTTTTAATGTGGGTATTGTGATATGCCTATATATTATTATTGGTGATGAGACTAATGATGTCTAATTGAGATTTTGCATAGCATTCCTATTATACAATAAGGTGTAATGGTGCTTAAGAAAATAAATGTGATATGCACTTCTATTATACAATAAGATATAATGGTGCTTAACAAATAAATGTGATATGCATTCCTATTATACAATTATGGTATAATGGTGTATGATGGAAAAAAAATAATAAGGCACTTGAGAAAAGGGGTATGTGATAGACATTCCTATTGTACAACAAGGTACAATGGTGTTTGAGTTAGAAATTCTTAAATACATGTTTTGACATGTATGGAAAGAAAAAGGTGGTTCACTAGCTCGATATCAAAAATTGTGGTACCATGAATTGAGAATTTGAGAGATATGAATGTGAATTTTATGAGCTAGCAGACAAGTGGGTTGATGTGAAAAAGTGAGAATAAGAATGAGTTAAATCTCTTCGTTACTCACTATACCACCAATTAGGCCTTTGGCAAAAACAAAAGTTGGAGGAAAATCTATGATCATAGTCCAAGGTCTAGTGCTCATTGAGGGGAATGGGATTTAAGCCCAATAATGTAGAACTTCCTATGAGGATACCCAACCCGAATTCTAAGAATTGGGTTTCGAATGGGAAAAACGAATCATAGAGAAGTCGTTGTTGAAAGATGTATCAATATTTAACGGAAAAA